GAAATCCATGCTTTACCCCATGCAAAATGGATTAGGATTTTTTAAAGGTAGAAGGAATGCTTTGTTGGGTGGTGTGCCTCAGTCCCAACTCAGTCAAGGTTAATGTTCTTCTAGCTATTTAACCTTCCCTGTACCAGAGTCTAAGGGCTCAGGCTACTTTTCAACAAAAGATGCTATCAGGATAACCATTCAAAATTTCAGGTATTTGGTATTATACTTCTAAGATCACTGTAAGAATGAACAGTGTGAGAGCTCACACATGAAGATTACAAGAGAGATTTTCTTCTTCAGCTCATCCACATATGTGGTAGCATACTAAGTACTAATATATTTTAGAGGCAGTGCTTTGAACAGATCCCACACCAGGATTTCAGCCTTTACAGACTGTTGCTATAATGTAATACGTTAGAAATATTTTGTCTTTACTTTACAATATAACCACTATATTTGATAATTATGGACCAAATACCTTCATATCGCAAAATATGAACAAGCTTGAATATATAAGTATGCTTCTTTCTTTGTTCTTTACCGAAAGTGTGGTCGCACACCGGAACAGGCTCCCCAGGGACGCAGTCATGGCACCAAGCCTGTCAGAGTTTAAGAAGCGTTTGGACTGTGCTCTCAATCATGTGGTCTGAATTTTTGGATAGACGTATGTGGTGTCAGGAGTTGGACTCGACGATCCTTGTGGGTCCCTTCCAACTTGGGATATGATTTATGATTTATTGATTTATTTATTTTTTTAATTCTACATAATATACAAGCAACTTAGATACAGGAAAAGAAAAAGAAACGAACTTTGGCTGTGGTATGTGACTTTTTGCAGAACTGTGCTTAAGGTTAGGTCTCCCTAAGAAGGTTTACTTTCACAAGCTATAGATACATATTGAAATTTGCAGAATTAGCATATGGGAGGTCTCAGACCATATTACCACATATTCTAAATATAATCAGTAATTACAAATCATGTCATCTGAAACTAATTCAGACAACAAGCCTATATTTTGAGCTCACATCATACTAGCCATGTGCATTCCAATCTGTCTATATCTCCTGTTTCTTTCTTCAGAGACTTGCAGGTGCCTCAGTATCACCTTCCATGCTGCCCAAGTCCATCTGCCAAGCTACCTTCCTCTTCAATGTTTGCTTTTCATGCTGCCTGTAGGAATGAGGATAGTTATAATACCATGTCAAATGCACACTAGAAATATACACCTCCCTGAGCTGACCATCTTTCTTCCATGACCCTCATTATCTTCCTGTATGCAACATACTATTCTCTGTTTGTGTATTTGTTTGTTTTTCTATTCTTCATATCAAAGTAGGCATTTTTGGGTCAGAATCTACAGACTGAATTCTTGGCTTGCTTCTGACCACATGCATAGATTAACCAGTGATTATGGAATTATTTTTAGCTGTATACTTTGTTACTAATTCTGCTCACGTTAATAGCAGTTGATGAGTACTTGATACTTTAGAAAAAGCTATCTTATTCAGTTACCAAACACTGAGTGAGGAGTCTATTTTTAGGCACCCATTTGTTTTAAACCTTGGCTTTTCACCAGATGCTTCAATTTTTCAAGCTAAATGAATTGCAACTATTATCCCACTGTTAATATCTACACCACTAAACACCAGCATCAACAGCTTCCACTTAAGAGTTGCGTTTGGATGCCCAGTCCCCTTCCACCTCTCCCCCCTCAATATATTTGTCACTGCTTTAAAAATGTCCTCAAGTCACTGCTTTACAAATGTCCTCAAATAATTGGAATTATTCATTCAAAATAAAAGTGCTATAAAGTTCCTCCATGTCACAGATAATTAGTCCTGGGCATTTTGTCCAGATTGCCTTTGTGTCTTTTCTGTAGGTGCCACCTAAAATTCCTGAAAATGCACTTTTTCGTCAAGAGTCATAGAGTCATAGAGGTTGGAAAAGACCTTCAATCATCACCCTACCACTAATGTCACCCACTATACCATGTCCCTAGTCACAGAAAAGTATCATGCCAAGAACAGTAACAAACTTGCTGACAGCACTGCAACTTTTATTTATTCTAAAGCAGTCCTATGTTTTTTTCTTTCAGCAGGTGTTTTTTTCTGTAAATAAGCATTTCTTTTCCCATAAATAAGTGCTGTAGATGGTCTTGATTAAAAAAAAAAAAAAAAAAAAAAAAAGTCATTTAACAACTTGTGTAAGAAATGCTACCCTCTCTACAAAGCTTTTTCCTCTCAATCTTACAAATATTCTGATATAAACCAACGGTAGCTTTATCCCACCAGACAATCCACCCACCACACTTCTTAGTTTTCTACCTCTTCCCACTGAGGCATGTGGTAATAAAAGGAGCAGAAGAGCTTTCAACAGTTTTGTCACTTATCCACTGTAGAATAACACATTTTAAGTTTTTTTTTTGGATAAACTTCACTTAAAACAAACTGCACGTTACCCAGTCCAAGCTCTCTTACAACAACGGCTATACATAATACATAATTTTATATTGCAAGAATGGTCAAAAGTGATTTGTACTGATGTTGTAACTTCTATGACCCATTCTGAAAATCACAGAATCACAGAATTGAATGAGTTGGAAGGGACCTGGAAAGATCATCGGGCCCAATCCCACTGCCAAAGCAGGTTCCTTAGAGCAGGCTGCCCAGGTAGGCGTCCAGATGGGCCTTGAATATCTCCAGAGAAGGAGACTCCACAACCTCCGTAGGCAACCTATTCCAGTGCTCAGTCACCCTCACCGTGAAGAAGTTCTTTCGCATGTTGGTGGGGAACTTCCTGTGCTCTATCTTGTAACCATTACCCCTTGTCCTTTCCCTGCAAACCACTGAAAAGAGGTTGGCCAAATCCCTCTGTCTCCCACACCCCAGGTATTTATGCACATTGATGACATCCCCTCTCAGTCTTCTCTTCTCCAGGCTGAACAGACCCAGGTCTCTCAGCCTTTCCTCATAGGGAAGATGCTCCAGGTCCCGTGTCATCTTTGTGGCCCTCCGCTGGACTCTTTCCAGGAGATCCTTGTCTTTCTTGTACCATGGAGAACAGAACTGGACACAGTACTCCAGGTGAGGCCTGACCAGGGCAGAGTAGAGGGGGAGGATCACCTCCCTTGACCTGCTGGCCACGTTCCTTTTAAAGCATGCCAGGATCCCATTGGCCTTCTTGACCACCAGGGCACACTGCTGGCTCATGGTCAACCTGTCGTCCACCAGGACCCCCAGGTCCTTCTCCTCAGAGCTCCTCTCCAGCATGTCATCCCCCAGCCTGTACTGATACATGTGGTTGTTCCTTCCCAGGTGCAGGACTCTACACTTGCTCTTATTAAACCTCATTTGGTTTCTTCCTGCCCATCTCTCCAGTATGTCCAAGTCTCTCACCACAGCCTTTTGACATGTCAGCCACTCCTTCCAGCTTTGTGTCATTGGTGTACTTGCTGAGGGCAGACACTATTCCCTCATCAAGGTCATCGATGATGATGTTGAACAAGACGGGATCCAGCACTGACTCCTGGGGAACACCACTAGTCACAGGACTCTAGCTGGATTCCGCTGAGCTTGGCCAGTCAGCCAGTTCTCAACTCACCTTACTGTCCACTCCTCTATCCCACACTTTCTCAGCTTTGCTAGCAGGATGTCATGGGAGACAGTATCAAAAGCCTTGCTAAAGTCAAGGTAGATGACATCCACTGCTCTCCCCCCATCTACCCAGCTGGTGACGCCATCATAGAAGGCAACGAGGTTGGTAAAGCATGACTTCCCCTCGGTGAATGCATGCTGAATACTCCTCATAACATTCTTCTCTTCCAATTGCTTGGAGATGGCATCCAGAACAAGCTGTTCCAACACCTTTCCAGGGACAGACGTGAGACTGACTGGCCTATAGTTTCCCAAATCCTCCTTCTTGCCCTTCTTGAAGACCAGAGTGACATTGGCTATCCTCCAGTCTTCAGGCACCTCTCCTGTTCTCCAGAACCTTTCAAAGATGATAGAGAGTGGTTCAGCGATCACCTCTGCCGACTCCCTCAGCACACACGTGCGTTGAGCCCACTCAGATGCTCCCGAACCACGCCCTTGTCAACAAGGGGGGAGATCTCCACTTCCCAGACTCTTCTGTTCCCTGCAGGGTCAAGGAGTCCCAGCGGGGGAGTCCTCGAAGCAAAGACCGAAGCAAAGAAAGCATTCAGTATGTCTACCTCCTCAGCGTCTCCTGTTACCAGGACACCCCCCTCGTTCAGCAAGGGCCCCACACTATCCTTAGTCTTCCTTTTACTGTTTACACACTTTAAAAAAAAAAAAAAAAAAAAAAAAAAAAAAAAACACCAGCTTGGAAGAAGTGCTGTTTAAATGTTGTCCAGCTCTCACATGCACCCTAGCAATGTAGCCCATGAGATACTCCCAAGCAGGTCCTGGAAGAGGTCAAAGTTGGCTCTCCAGAAGTCTTCTTCAGAAGTCCTGGGTTGCAATCCTGCTTTTTGCCTTATTTCTTCCACCAAGTTCCATCTTGAACTCCACCATCTCATGGTCGCTGCACCCCAAGCTGCCCCCAACCTTCAAATCCCTAACAAGCCCATCCCTGTTGGTAAGGACACAGTCCAGGAGCACCCCCCCACCTCGTTGGCTCCTCCACCACCTGCGTCAGAAAATTGTCTTCAACACATTGTAGGAACCATTTGGACTGCGCATGCCTGGCCAAGTTGCTTACCCAACAGATGTCTGGAAAATTGAAGTCCCCCATGAGAACCAGTGCCCGTGATCGTGAGGCTACTACCAGCTGCTTGTAGAAGGCTTCGTCGACCTCCTCCTCCTGATTTGGTGACCTGTAGTACACCCCCACAACAGTGACCCCCCGGATCAGCCCACCCCTTAATTCTCACCCACAAGCTCTCCACTTGTCCTTCACCCTCCCCCAGGTGGAGCTGGGTTCACTCTAATTGCTCCCTTCATAAAAGGGCAACTCCTCCCCCTCAGATCCCTAGCCTGTCTTTCCTAATGAGGACATAGCCCTCTATGACAGCCTTCCAGTCACGCAAGCTGTCCCACCATGTCTCTGTGATTGCAACGAGATCATGGCCCTGCGACCGAACGCAGATCTTGAGCTCATCCTGTTTATTTCCCATGCTCTGTGCATTGGTATACAGGCACTTTAGGCAAGCAGCAGGCACAGTTACCCCTGGAGGAATGCAAGAAGAAAATTCTGGACAAGGTATGAGGATCATTACCTTCTCTGAAGAGCCCTCGGACAATCCTATGGGACAATTCTGAGGTTTTTCCCTACTATCTTCAACAGTGACAACTTCACCCAGCCCTTCTCTGTCACTTTTAGCTCCCCTCCCTTCCCCCATCAAACCTAGTTTAAAGCCCTGGTAATCAGCCCAGAGAGCTTACTCCCCAGTACACTTGTACCCCACTTGCTGAGTTGAAGTCAGTCAGCAGCCCACATATCTGGCTTCTCAAAGGGCTGCCCAAGATCAAAATACCCAGATCCTTGGCCCAGACACCACCCCCTCAGCCAGTCGTTTATCTGCCCCATTCTCCTCCTTCTTCCTGGGTCTCAGTCACCCAGAGGGAGGACAGAGGAGAACACTACCTGCACCCTTGATCCCTTCAACAACCTTCCCAGGGATGCAAAGTCCTTTTTAATATACCTCATTTTTCTAGTTGCAACTTCACGGGATCCAACCTGAATGACAACACGAGAATAGTAATCCTCCAGTTTAATGAGCTGTGGCAGAGCCTTCCTAATGCCTCTGACACATGTCCCAGGAAGACAGCACACCTCTCTGGAAAGGTTACCTGGGCGACAAATGGGGACCTCAGTGCCCCTCAGCAAGAACTCTCCAATCACTAAGACTCTCCATTCTTTTTTTTTTGTGGCACTGGTTGTGATGCACTGCTCCACCTGGCCCTGATCCCTATGCTCTGTACTTCCCCCAATCTTAACCCTGCGAAGTGTGTTGCTTCCTGGGTTCAGACTACTGCCCAGACCCTCAACCTCATCCTTTTCCCACCACCTGAGAAGGGAGTCGCCTACAACGATTACCCTTCTATCTGTCTTGGTGGAGGCAGTCTTGAGGCGTGGAGTCCACTTCCTCACCCTAGGCATCCTCCTGGGTGTACTATCTACCTCATCCTCACCCACTGGTCTCTCAAGCTCCAGGGTCTCAAATCTGCTGTGTAAGAGCACCTGGGAAGGTGGGGCCAGCAGGGGGGGTGTTGCCTGCGAGGTCAAGCAGGGACCTGTCTCCATTCCTTCTCAACTCCCAGGTCCCCTCCCTCAGCCCAACAGCGACAGGGCAGGGGGTCCACCCCCATTTGGGGTGTCTCACCCCAGTACCTCTTCAGGCCCTGCAGGGAGTTGCTCCACCAGTCTATCTCCTGCTCACGCTCCCTGATGGCCCTCAACCTCTCCATCTGCTCCTTGAGCCCTGCCACCAGGCGGACCAGGTCATCCACCTGCTCACACCTCACACACATGGTGTCTCTGCCTCCCTCAGAGGGCAGCAACAGGCTCAGGCACTCCCTGCATCCAAAGACCTGAACTGCCGCACCGTTGAGAGGGCAGTCAGTCTGGGTGGTTACAGACTTTCTAGAGAGAGCTCTCTGGCTACTGTAGACCATTGTGGCCTATCTAGTGCTAGACAGCCGTTAGAGGAGTTGTTCTTATGGACGGGGGATCGCTCTGCCCTCCCTGCGTGAACTGCCATGCCCTGCCTGGTTGCCTGTCCTGGTCACCGCGCTCCCCAGGGGAGGCTTTTGAACAACTGGGGAGGGGACGCTGCCGGCTCCGCCTATGCCTCGTCAGCCTTCCTCGCAAGGGCTGCCGGGCCCTGGCGGCTCCCTCAGCTGCCTCGAGTGGCCTCGGTGCCGGAAAAAAATCCCTGCCTGTCCCGGTACCCCGCTCTGCTGCAGAACGCGTCTGCCCCAGAGCCGATCGCCTCGGCAAGATACTCTTAGGAGCCTCGGAATGTGTAGGAAAAAGGAAAACAGCATATTTTTAATCTTGTTTGTAAAGTAACAGCTATTTAGAGACCCCTACAAAGCTTATGACTCCATTTGGTTAGATGCTATAAACACACCAAGACACAGACTTTCTCCCACGCAGGTTACTCTCTGAAGTTAAATGAGACAAAAAGCCTCTGAGAAAGAACACATAATCATGCTTTTACAGGTGAGAAAAATGGCACTTGATTAGCAATTTTTAACATGGATGATTAGGCACAATAATCTGTACTTTGGCACTAATACAATCAGTGTAAATAGCTTACAGCTTTGCAAAATCCATCACCTAGATACCTCTCAAGGTAAGTAAGTGACTTTCTCAGTGTGGCAGATGTATCTGTGATGGAACCAATGACACTGGCCATATTTTTTGGTTGTGAAAAGCACAAAGTCATTTCTGCTCTCTGGAGTATGTGTATTAGGTTTATTTGTGCTCTAACAAAACCTCTTTGTCCTTCTACTAACAGCACTTCAAACTCTACTGCCTTATTGTTAACAACTTCTATTTCAACATGTGTTGATGGAAAATACAAGGATTTAGATTTTAAGATGTTGGCAGAAAACAAATCCATATTTTGTTGCTCTAGTCCCTTCTGGAATGTATTGGAAACAACTTTATCTGACACCTCTAAATCCTATCCTGAGGACTGTAACACCAACCAAGAATGCTTAAAAGAGATCCCCTATCAAGTTACTGGTTTTGTTAGACTGTGACTCATTATCACGAATCACTATATGTTCATCATTATGAACACTTAAAGTCTGGTAATCTATTTTATTTGATTTCAGATTATTAAAATCTTTAAAAGAAAGCACATATGCAACACAAAGCACACTGATGAGCAGCAGCATTTGGCAAATATGTTAAAGACAAGGTGATAACATCAATCATCATGCTACTGTGAATGTAAATAACTGTAATTATTAACATTACTTGTTACGCATAGAAAGTGTGATTTGTAGAACACTTATCTGTACAAATTACACTGTAAATTGAAACTGACTTCAGTCATCAGCAAAGCTGTGGAGGCTCACGTTGACTGGAGCAGTCCTGATTGCTTAAAGCACAGGCAGACACAAAGGGTAGCCCTACCATCCTTGCAAGGCCCTGACAGACCAGAGGTATGGCTAGCAGTTCTTTTTCTTCTACTTGTTGCCAACTCTTTTCTCAGGAAGGCAACGAATGGGGGAAGAATGATCATGGTTTTGCTGACTAAAGAAATCAGAAAGCAAGATTTAAAAATGCAAATAACAAAATGAAACAGAAGCACTCGGGTTACCAAACTATTCATCAGAAATACCAATGCTGTCATATATGGGAACATATTTCCCTGTCTGGAGAGAACCCAGTCACTGCAAACATGAAAGTGTTTCAAAATGAGTGAAAACTGATGATGTATTTGATAGGAGAACAATACGGCCAAAGGTCAGGAATTATAGGAAGAAAGGAATAGTCCATATATGCAGTATTCATCCCATGAAAAAGATTTCAAGAAAGCAACAGAGAACATTGAGCTCAGTAGAACAGTGCCCAGAGAGTTTTTGAAAACATTGATGAAATCACCGCAAATGAGCAGACTTGACAGTGAAGATCTATCTTTTACATCTTCCACATCAACAAAGTGAATCACAGGCATGATGATGCTGTGACTATTTAAAGCAATACCTAAGACAGTACCAGCCCTCCCCAGGAACAGATTTCTTCATGGAAAACTGGTGGAAAAACCTTCTCTATCATTCTCTCTGGGAAATCTAATTCCTCCAAAAAATGTGCATGTGTAATTACATCAGTTTCAGGCAAGCCTGGCCTGAAAAAATAAAAATAAATAAATGAAGGTGGGAATATAAATGTAGGCCAGACAGGGGATATGATACTAATGACAAAGCAAAAGCCAATCCATAAAGAGACAGGGATTCCTTTACTAATGAGGAATTTTACAGAATCTCCAAATATTGCCAGTCTCTAAAACAAGTGAAATCATTAAAAAAAAAAAAATAGGGAAGCAGCAAGAAAAAGCAAATTCAGAGACTCTTAGATCAGTTATATCTAGTATCTTATTTCTTATGTTAAAGGGAAGCATAATGGAGAAGTAATATTCTTACAGAAGACTGTCAAAACTATTTTAGTAATAAAGTTTAGTATGGTATGCAATTAGTCATGAAGTCAAGGATACACACAAAATATGGTCACAAAACACAGCATACCGTCTCTAGAATAAAACGTTAGATGGAGAGATTGGTAAGATTCAGGATTTGCTTCAAAGACTTGTCTTGGCAGCACAGAATACAACTGGGATGAGATACAAAGAATGAAGTCCACCACTGTACTAGATTAGAACCTTTTAGCACTAATATTTGTGATGTCTCACAAGAGGCTTACAAGAATAGCAAAATGAAAAGAAAAAGGCTGAGCTTGTTGCAGCTGCAGGATCTTCCAGAAAAAGGCAGAAAGAGGTATAATGGAACAGGATGGTGTTACCACTAATGAAAAGAAAAGGAGCTGACAAACATTTGAGCCAAAGTGGCAATAGATTAGGGGGAGCTTGAGGAATAGTTGCTTACATTTGATATTAAGCTTGGAAGGAAATCCTGCAGTTAGTTGAGGGACTGTGGAGCTTGGCACAATCAAACTGGGATCAATTTCCACAATTACTGAGCCCACAAAAGGCTCCTGTACAGTTCTGTAATAGCACTTCCCTGCCTCAGCTTACCGCTACAGCTGTCCAGACATAAAATGCTCATTGAAAATCTTGGCAGAGTGTCTTTTTGGGAGCCACAGAAGAGAATTTAAAACAGACACAGACAGTTTTTTGTTGTTGCTTTAGATTCAGGTTTAGTGAGAAGAGCAATAAGCAGAAAACAAGTTTTAAGGAAACAGCCTGAATGTGGAGAAAATACAACACACAGCTTCCAAAGAAATTGTATCAACAACCTTTCCATTTCGTATGTTTGGATGAATTTCACTGAAAGCTGGAGCAGAAAGGCATTCTTCAAAAGCCTTTACCCGAATGTCTCCAAATTTGGTCAAAAGGAATCTTTAATCAAATCATGTTTAAAAAAAAAAAAAAAAAAGAAAGAAAGAAACTCAATTACCATTGCACATTTCAAAGTTATATATCTAATCTGCTTGCTTCATTTCTTATTTTGCAGCACAGTAGTGTTTACACTTACAAAGCCAGAATCAACAGTTGTTTTTTCTTCTCTTCCTTCCTCTCCTAGAAAAAGGGACCGGTCAAGGCTACCCTGGCCAAAGACTAAAATACTTTGTACATCAAATCTCTGAAGGCAGGAAGAAAGGGATGAGGGACACTGGAGAAAGTTAAGTAGTCATTTCAAAATAAAACCAACGACATGACACTGAAGTGCAGCCAGAACTGCAACATGCCATTGTAAACAGATTGTGTGAACAACTTTATCACTGTAGTCACGAGCAGATGCTTTTGTCAGAGAGGAGAACTGCTTGGACAGGTCACAGGTCACGCTGCTCCCCAGGGGGAGCAATTGATGGCACAGATCTAATACAGTTCAGCACAGCAGGATCATGTCACCGTGGGACAAGGATTCAGAATACAGCTATGTTGTCTTATCTAGCAAGTTTTATTTCTGGCTGACAGAGCCGGCCTTTAGGGTCTCCAAAGACGCAAATCCCAGGCTCCTTTGATTTGTGAAACTGGAAACGCTTGCTGTAATCTCAATTTGTTTAAAAAATAAGCATGTTTCTATCCCTGTTCTATCCTCTATCTTTCAAAATAATCTTGACAACATACACTGACTGACAGAGTTGAAAGTATCATAAATGTTTTTTTACAATCAAGTTATTTTCACAGGCAGAACAAACAACTATCCAGAGCTGACCTCAGAGATCTCTCTCAAGTTTTTTAAAGGATCTCT